AGTCACCATCCACTCTATGATTAATTTCCCGAATATAATTATGAAATTAAAAGAAGAGATATTAGCTGTGAAAATCGAATGTATATTTTGCTAACTTCATTCAAACTTAGGCTTTCTTTTCTGAAAACAATCAAGAATGAAATTAATTAAACTTCCTAGGACGATCAAACGTCAGTGTAACCTGTAAGAAGGACTGAATAAATGTAAGTGGACTAACAGTCAGTTGAATCTTGAATTTCCTAAACAGGAAACTGTACTAGCAACTTGCTTAGTTATACATCCATGTTGCATATGTTGACTATTTGACTTCTGTCCGCTCTTAGAACTAAGTAATGCTAACCATATCGGGAATCAGTGGAGGTAGAGAACCATGGATCACTGGATTCCATGGCCGTACCTGAACTGTAGTTCATTCGCCGTCAGATCTGATGGTTCTGGACTTGATCTCTTCCAAGGTTGTAGGTGTGCACTGCTGAGGAGTCCCACACTAGGATGAAACCGCTGTCAACCGATCCCGAGTCTTCAAGTTTTTCAAATGGCTTAAATCCTTGGTGAAAACGACTTTTGAAGCATTTCGGTGTCAAACAGACTTTTTTAATCTGATCACATGATCCGACTGATTACTACAAATATAACGTTACTAATTCTTGTGCTTCTTGTTCGTAAAACATATTATAATATATTATCATTTTTCCTTTGAGTTTCCAGTGGAACATAAGGCTTCAGTAGTACGCCTCCATTTCACTCTATTCTCTGTAGTCTTTTGGACCTGCGATTACCTAGGTTGCATAACCTTGTGTATCACTGACCAAGCTGAATACACTGGTGGTACTTGACAACATTTAATCAACTTCTTTTGTTTTTTCTACAGCTTATATATTCACGTATAGCATACGGTATACCCCGATAGTTGCAACATCGAAAATTATAAGAGATAAAAAGGAGATAACCGGATATAAAAGAAGCTTATAAAAAACAGTAGCAAAACAATGCTATGAATAACTACACTTGATAAATTTTTGATGCATAAGAAATATTTCATTAAATAGAAGTATTAAAGTTTGATGCTTTCTTATGATATAAATGTTTTCTTATCGGCAGTAACAGAGGTTATTGGCGTTTTAGGCTAACACATCACAAAAGGACTAAGGCACTTAGTTGTTAGTTAATGCCTTCACATGAATCGTACACAGATTTCACCGATGAGATGTTTGAGGCGAAAAATTCAAACACAAAGGTTAGTAAAATATCTATGAATTTCAGCATCTCTCAGAAAAGAGATATCTGAGTTTACTAATCACGATCATGGTCAGTGTGGCAATTTTTTCGAAGTGACATTTACCAATGGAAATAGGCTGAAATAAATTAAAGTAGTAAACAGTGAAATATCATCATATTAAGTTTGTATCCAAAGAAGGGAGACCTAAGCCTTTGCATGAACTGGTACGGAATCATGCTCCACTCCTGTCCACCCAAATCAAAATATTATGCCGCATCATCCTGGAGAGACTAAATGATGAGCTGGATTCAAAATTACAACCGGAACAGAATGGCTGGCTGGTTTCAGGAAGAACAGATCATGTGTGGGTCAAATTGCAAGGCTACACTACCCTACGTATCATTATTGAACAGAGAATAGAATGGTAGTCAACTACATCTCCACCTCAACTTCACCGATTGTGATAAGGCCTTCGATAGCGTCGACCGAGAAGTAATTTGGCAGGCAGCTGCTTCAACACTACGGTTTTAGTGCCACAAACCTTTATCAACCTCATTCAACACCAGCTATATGCTGTGCTATATGAT